CTGGAGGTGAAACCCTGGAACCCATAATGCTTTTCCCACTACATCATGATTCCTCAAACTAACTGAGGCACAATTTTGCATATATATGTGACGCAGCAGGGTTGAACGAGAGGTCTCTGAGTCAGACTGTCCAGGTTTGAATTTTGGGTTCCTCCACTTGCTATTTGGGTGATCTTGAGCAAATTACTAAATCTCACTGTGTCTCAGTTTTCTCATCTATAAAATGAGATAAGAACTATACTTTGCCAATAGGACTATTATGAAAAAATTAATACAAATAAAGTTCGCAGGATGATGTCTGACACATTGTAAGCATTTAACAAATGTCAGTAATCATTAGGAGTCTACTAATAAACACACGGACATGTATTTGCTAGATTTTAAAATAGCCTAAATATACTAGAATTAGAACTCTAGATCATTTTTATGTTTTAAAATATATACACAACCACTGGTATTTCATTTGCCATATAAACAGTACCCCCAAAATGGTTTCCTCATGAAATACATGCAAAATTCCAGATATCAAATGCATAATAAAGCTCACTTAATTTGAACATCATTCATTTTGTGATCATTTGAGTCCAGTGGTATTCTCAGAATATAATACCCAGAGGGATCTTTGTTTTAAACATACCCTTCTCTGCGTGACAAAATTATTTTCAGTAATGTCCATGAAATGAAACAAATAATAATAGCCAGGAATGAAACAGACAGTGAAAATTCTTTTATTCAACTCCACTTATATGTCAATATAAAATAAATATTATAGTACAAAAAAGAAAAAAGCAATGGAATTAATGTTTTGAAAAAAGGAAAACCTTAAAACCTATATATTGTTTTGTGGAAGTACTAAATAATAATATATTTCCTATTCTCTTGGTTCCTTCTTCAGTTTTGGAGTAAACAATAATTTAAAAAGAATAAATTTCAGAGGTAAATATAGTTTTAATTCAATTATTCAAAAGGATAATTTCACATATTAACTAAAATTTGTACTTATAAGCCAAAAACATTACAACTCATAGTTTACACTTTGTCTCACTCTTCACTCTTAAATGTTAAACACAAATGAAAACTCTTAAGTCGTCACATGGAATGAAAACGCTGAAGTAATCAAGCTGTTTCTTCACCTAACAGTCTCTGTACAATCACTGCATAAGAATCTACTATTTAAATACAGGGATATGGACCAAAGGGATTGCAGACATGAACTGCACCTGAAGCCTTGCATTACCCTGAATTTTTATTAATTTATTTTGAAAAATATCCATAGAACTGAGTCTAGGTTTATAGAAGGCCAGCTATATAATTGGGAGTTCTCTGATTTAACGTCTCTGTAGAATATAATATTAAAGGACCAATAATTAAAATGTGCTAATTTGAAGCTTACATTGTTCTTGTTTGTTCTTCAGTCCCTAAGTCATGTCCAACTCTTTGCAACCCCATGAACAGCAGCAAGCCAAGCTTCCCTGTCCTTCACTAAGTCCCAGAGTTTGCTCAAACTCATGTCCATTGATACCATCCAACCATCTCATTCTCTGTTGCCTCCTTCTCTTGCCCTCAAACTTTGCTAGTATTAGGGTCTTTTCCAGCGAGTGGCTCTTCGCATCAGGTGACCAAAGTATTGGAGCTTCAGCTTCAGTCCTTCCAATGAATATTCAGGGTTAATTTCCTTGCTATCCAAGGGACTCTCAAGAGTCTTCTCCAGCACCATAGTTAGAAGGCATTAATTCTTCAGCACTCAGCCTTCTTTATGGTCCAATTCTCACATCTGTACATGACTACCAGAAAAAAACAGTATGGACTATCGAGACCTTTGTTGGCAAAGTGATGTCTCTGCTTTTTAATACATTGTCTAGGTTTGTCATAGCTTTTCTTCCAAGGAGCAAGCGTCTTTTAATTTCATGGCTGCAGTCACCACCTGCAGTGATTCTGGAGCCCAGGAAAAGAAAATCTGTCACTCTTTTCATTGTTTCCCCATCTATTTGCCATAAAGTGATGGGCCCAGATGCCATGATCTGAAGTGTTTTGAATGTTGACTTTTAAGCCAGCTTTTTCACTCTCCTCTTTCACCTTCATCAAGAGGCACTTTAGTTCCTCTTCACTTTCTGCCATTAGAGCAGTATCATGTGAGGTTGTTGATATTTCTGCCTGCATTCTTGATTGCAGCTTGTGATTCATCCAGCCTGGCATTTCGAATGATATACTCTGCATATAAGTTAAACAAGCAGGGTGACAATATACAGCCTTGATGTACTCCTTTCCTGATTTTGAATCAGTCTGTTGTTCCATGTCTGGTTCTGACTGTTGCTTCTTGACCCTCATATGTGTTTCTCAGGAGACAGATTAAGGCGGTCTGGTACTCCTATCTCTTTAAGAATTTTCCAGTTTGTTGTGATCCACACAGTCAAAAACTTTAGCAGTCAATGGGGTAGATGTTTTTATTGAATTCCCTTGCTTTCTCCATGATCCAGTGAATGTCAGCAATTTGATCTCTGGTTTCTCTGCCCTTTCTAAACCCAGTTTGTACATCTGAAAGTTCTCAGTCCACATACTGCTGAAGCCTAGCTTAAAAGATTTTGAGTACTACCTTGCTAGCATGTGAAATGAGCACAACTGTCCAGTAGTTTGGGACTTCCCTGGTGGCTGAGACAGTAAAAAATTTGCCAGCAATGTGAGAGACCTGGGTTTGATCCCTAGGGTGGGACGATCCCCTGAAGAAGGAAATGGATACCCACTCCAGTATTCTTTCCTGGAGAATTCTATGGACAGAAGAGTCTGGAGGGCTAGAGTCCATACGGTCACAAAGAGTCGGACATGACTGACTAACACTTTCACTTGAACTTTCTTTAAGATTGGAATGAAAGTCAACATTTTCCAGTTCTGTGGCCACTGCTGAGTTTTCCAAATTTGCTGGCATATTCAGTACAACTCTTTCATAGCATCATCTTTTAGGATCAGAAATAGCTCATCTGGAATTCCATCACCTCCATTAGCTTTATTCATAGTAATGCTTCCTAAGGTCCACTTGACTTCATGCTCCAGAATGTCCAGTTCTAAGTGAATGACCACACCAACGTGGTTATCCAAATAATTAAGCCCTTTTCTGTACAGATCTTCTGTGTATTCTTGCCACCTCTTCTTAATCTCTTCTGCTCCTGTTAGGTCCTTACAGCTTCTATCCTTTATCGTGCCCGTCCTTCCATGAAATGGTTCATGATACCTCCAATTTTCTTGAAGAGATCTAACCTTTCCCATTCTACTGTTGTCCTCTATTTGAATTGTTCATTTAAGAAGGCCTTCTTTATCTTCTTCCTATTCTCTGGAAGTCTGCATTGGGTATGTAGTTGTGTTAATCACTCAGTTGTGTCTGATTCTAGCAACCCCATGGACTGTAACCCACCAGGCTCCTCTGTTCATGGAGTTCTCCAGGCAAGAATACTGGAGTGGGTTGCCATTCCCTTCTCCAGGGGATCTTCCTGACCCAGGGATTGAAGGGGTCTCCTGCATTGCAGGTTGATTATTTACCGTCTGAGCCACCAGGGGTGCCTTCCGTTGGGAATATCTTTCCCTTACTCCCTTGCCTTTTGTTTCTCCTCCCCTTCATGGATCACAGCCTTGTCATGGTGACGGGCCTTGCATAATTCAATGACACTATGAGCCATGCCACACAGGGCCGCCCAAGATGAACAGGTCACACTGAAGAGTTCTGACAAAACATAGTCTACTGGAGGAGGAAATGGCAAACCACTCCAGTATTCCTGCATGGAGAGCCCCATAAACAGGCAAAAATACTTCCCTGGTGGTCTGGTAGTTAAGAATCCACCAGTCAATGCAGGGAACAGGGGTTTGATCCCAGATCCAGAAGAATCCACATGCCACGAGGCAACTAAGCCCGTGTTCCACAACTACCAAGCCGGCGTGCAGCAACGACTGAAGCTTGTGGGAGCTTCATGCTCCACAAGAGAAACCACTGAGATGAGAAGCCAAAGCATCCCAACTATAGAGTATGCTGAAACTGGAGAAAAACCGTGTGCAGCAACAAAGATCCAGCACAGTCAAAAATAAAATAAATTTTATATATATATATAAAGTAACTATGGAACTTGTTTAGAAACTAGGTTCATAAGAAATTTTTCAAGGAAGAATATTTTATCACTGACATTGTTTAGAATTTCTGGTACATAAAAGCTGCTGGTAACAAAAATCAGACAGGCTTTTAGTGGGTATATTATAGTTTAAATTCCCTACAGACAATGAGAACGTTCTTGCCTACATCCCAAGTGATGTTCTCACTGCCCCATTCTCAGCATGCCACCACTCAAGGTAAAATATGCCCCTTCTGTCCTTGAAAATGGGCTTGCTACATTAAGTGTATTTAACCTATTTATGAGAAAATATTTTTTAAAAGAATATTGAGGACCTATTCAGTGCACAGTGCTGTGCTTTGCTTTATCCACACAGAATATATGCACATGAATTTTGCTAATTACAAGTCAATCACATTTATTCATTAAAGTACTCAGCAGGATTTTGAAAGATATTTTGTTACCAGGTATTATGTATACTTAAATTTTTAAATAATTATCACACAAATTCACATATATTCCATTTTTCAAGCTTTTCATTGACTCAGATTGGCTTTCTCCCTGTGTGTTCCCAGTAAGTGAGGCTGCATCCCAAATCAACGTGCAGCAGAGGTTTTAAAATATTAACATTTACATAAACATTAACAACTTAAAATCTCTTGATATTATTTAAATTTCACAAATCACATGGCATCAGAATTCACACGTTCTACTTTTTCAAGCAATTACGTCAAGAGAACAAATTTTAACTCTAATAGCAATCTTTTTCAGACATTCATAGGATCAATGTAATCTCCAGTCTGCCTTCTCCTAATCTTGCAGCTGCATACATGCACAGTTTTTCTGATTATGTGATTCTGGTACTCTTGAAAAGACAGTTTTTTTTAAACAAAAGAAAATCTGACTTACCTCAAAAGATATTTTGGTATGGAAGAGCAAGGTAATTACAGCCACATTAGAAGCAGATATACCTGGCAAGAGAGTGACACACAAGCCTTAAAACTACAATTAATTTCTTCTATTTCTGCTGTATAGGTCCTATTTTCCTTTTGCTGTGGGGTTCCATCACCCACAAAATCCCTTCTCTAGTCACCTACAGTCTACTGAAGCGGGCACCTGTCCTATTTATAGCTCCAGTGTTCCTCAACCTCTCCTGTTGACAAACATCACCTGGGGCAGTTAAAAATAAAAATAACAGGCTACACTTGTGTCGATTCAACTTTAATGGATTTGAGGGGAGCCTCCAGAATCCGATTTTAATCAAGCATCCTCAAGAGATTCCTATAGACACATTTAAGAATAAGCTAAAGAGGCCTGCCAGAGTTCTTCACGGTTCCTCCAAATTGATCATCCTAGGGGCTAATCCTCCTCCAGGTATTAGGACTTAGACATTTGAAAAGAGAGCAGGAGAAGTTTGGAGAAAGCAGAATAGCATCTTGTCTACACAGCTGATTTAGGTTTTCAATATCCCTGAAGAATTAGAAGGGGATTTTAGTTTGGGTCGGTGATATAAAGTACACACCACCAGGGTGCAGCATAGAGCTGATAAATTACAGGTATTAGGGGATTTCTTTTTTTTGACTACACACTACCACATAAAATAGGTGCACCTACATTTTCCATGAACTCAGATTACCAAAAAAAAAAAAAAAGGCAGCACACTTAAAAGACCCAGGTAAAAGATATTAGCACGTAATTCCCATAGTTTTCTCTCTCTGGAGGGTCTTCAATGACAGCTGTTATAGGAAAAAAGTTCCCTTGAAGTAGTGTTACACCTGAATCTAAAACTGGTATTAGACTACAAAGATTCTAGGCAAACCAAAGTGGTGTTCCAATTTTTCTGTCTGAAAGTTTCAAAACATGTGTCCTACTGTTTTAACTAGCATTGTAACTGGACGCTTTTAATCAAGCCTTTGGAGTTCCACTAAGTGGGGGGGTGGGGGGGTAGGGAGGGATGGGGGTGGAAAACAACAAGAACAAGCTATGCCAAGGCGACTTTTTCTTACACTTTTTCAAATGTAGTTGAAATGTTGCCACCACCTGTCAGAAAACTACCCATTCCCCATCCCACCCATCCTCCCAACTTTTCTAGACTCATCCCCACTTTCTCTTTTCAAGTCTACATTAAATGGAGAAGAAAAATCCTCTGGCAACTCGGGTAGCTTCTACAAATATCACCTCCAAGGGCTTTGCGTTCCTCTTAAATTCCATTAGATTTGGGTTAAAGATGAGGGAGGACCTGAAGAAGGAATTTTACTTATTTCCCAACTTGCCAAAAGTAGATACACATTCCCGATCTAGATATCTCTTTGTCTAAGAAACTTATGATCCAAGCCCCTGGGGCAATTCTGTGACCTGGGTTTTGAAGTCCTTCAACTGCATAATTTCCAACTTTTAGCTAGAAAAGCTGAGGTGGGAAGAGGAAGAGACAGGGATGACTAGACTAAGACATTCCTGCGAATCAAACAGGCCTAACCAAAACAAACACCAAAACCTTTATAAGAGGTATGAGAACCAGAAATCAAGGCTGTCTGTAGAGCTAGAGCTCACCCTGGAACTTGGTGGTCTAGAAGAGAGGGTTTGCAATCTTTTCAAGTACTTTAGCAAAACTATCGGGACTCTACTGGAAAATGGCTAGATTTTTAGCATGAATCGAGACTACAAGTGACAAAAGCTACTTTAACTCCAGAAGGTGCTTAAGTGATTGTATTCCACTGCTCACAGGAGCCTGCACAGACATCAGAAACAGGGAGGATGTAAGAACCTAAATCTATATCTTCTGGGTGCACCCAGAGTCCTCATCTAAGCCATTTGCCCCACCCGCTAACCAAGAGCCCCTGTCCTAAAGTAAGCATTCTCCACGGGGAAGATGTTTTACCTCCAAAGGGTGAGATCTTACTCCTTTTATGTGTAAAACACGATACGGTACATAAGCAGCTATACAGTATATGAACGGTATCACAATTTCATGGCGTCGAGGAGGAAGAGACTGATGAGCAAAACGTTTTAAAAGGCTTTTCTTAAGAGAACGATAATGGAAAGAAAAAAAAAGGTTGAGAAACGCTGACCTACAAGGGTCCCGAGGTCAACTATGAAATGAAGGTTCTGACAAGTAATTTTTTCCCCAGACAGCAGCCTGAGTCAGGGGGTCTCTGATTCTGGTTCGACTTCGGCCAGAAAGGGGTTCATCAAAGCTCAAAGGGCAATCCATGCCCGCCGTTCGCTGCCTCACTGGGTGCCGTGTGTGAATGTAACCAACGGCTGGCAAAGAGCTTTAGAAACTGCAAAGCGCTGCACCAAAGCCAGAGAAGGTTTCTATTCTCGGTTGAACGAAATACCGCGAATGGGGCCCCCTCACTTGTTGCTTCCCAGTCCTTCTACCTCAGACCTTCTCTCCACGACCCCCTCCTGATTCCACACGCGCACGCGCAGCCCCCCATACACCCGACACGTCCCCGCGACCCCCTCACCCACGCCACGAGACCTGCGCGCTCCGTTCGGGCCCAGGCGCGGGCCGCGTCCCCAGCCCCCGCCCCCTGCCCGGTTCCCGCCGCCCTCCGGGCCGGCCGAGGCTGCCGTTTCCTAGACAGTCGCGCGAACGCTCCGCAGCCTCCTGGGCGCGCGCGCCGAAAGAGGAGACGAGGGCGCAGGCGCGGGCCCGGTCCTGGTCCTGCCGCCGGCGCGTGGCCGCGCACGCGCGCCCCCGAGCGCGGTGGGCGGAGGAGCGGAGGGAGCCGCGGGGCCGCGAGGGGGCGGGGGGGCGGAGAGGGGAGCCCCGGGAGCGCGAGCCGCGGCCAGCGCCGCTGCAGAGCCGAGCGAATCCCCAGCCCCGGCAGCAGGTATGTGTCCCCGCAGCCGGCCGTGGCCGGGGCTTCCCCTGCCACGCTGCCCGGGTCCTGTGGCCGGGGCGGGGGTGGGGGCCGGTCAGGGTTTGCAGGGTACGTGCCCGGGAGGGCTGGGATCTTACCACTGACCTTCATACCCTCGGGCCGGGGTAGCAATGCGAGGGTGCCTGGGGCAGCCCAGGGCTTCAGCTTCAGCCTGGAGATCTGCTTCTTGTCACATGCTTCTTATTTATTTTTGCAAACTGCCCTGGTTCGGGTCCAGCTGCAGATGCCTTACCTCCCATTCTTTGCCTCCGTGTGCCATCTTGCATTTATTAATAAAACATGCAAGCTGGGGTGGGGGGGGAATTGCTGCTGGGGGGAATCCCATTGCAGTATAACAAGCGAGCGCCTGTTTTCGGTTTTCGAGTGTGGTATTGAGGTGGAAATCCCACACCCCAGGGATTTGTGGCTTGGTTGGTCGTGACCGCTTCCTCGTGGGCTTCCCCCATTTGTCTGGAGGCGCCACAGCGGCAGAATGGACTGGCAAGAAAGGATGGTGGTTTTTCACTGTCAGGCCAGAATCCGGTTCTGGGGACAGGTGCAAGCTACGGCAGACAGTTCTCCTGCTTCCTAACTTGCCAGGGTGGCTTAAAACCAGAAGATTGTTTCCCTTGATTGCCGAGAGGAGGCCTTGAACAGAATCCCTGAGACTTGCATACTCAAACTCATTAAGGTTTTGCATCTGAGGATGACTAAAGCTTGCCACCTGTTGGAAGTTAGACCCCATGAAATTCCCTGTAATCTAGCCCACCAATCCCTGTTTCAAACACTAATACTGAGATAGCAATAAACCCATATTCATCCCTAATGTTTCCTTTAATACTGCTTGGCTTTTATCTCTTTTAAAATAAAACCTATCGTTTGATGCCCCATATGTTTTAGATTGAAATGAGATGATGTGTTTATATTCCATGCACATATAACATCAGATCCTAAAGACTGAATTTCTCTTCAGTTATCTATTTCCCCAGCTTTTCACCTTGCTTCAAGAAACAGTTCCAAAAGTGGGACATATGAAACTGACTACCTTTTTTTGCCCCCCCCCCCCCCACAATGCTATGGTGAAAAAATAGCGAAAGCTAGAAGTATAGAATAAAAATGGTTATCACAAGATCTTTGGATATGGCAGCAGGACTATAATTGCTTCTAAAATATATAGTAGAGTGCCACATTTAATCATGAGAACACATTTTTTTAATGGTCATGTATACCAGATACTGAGTTATGAGTTATTGGTGCATGATCTCATTTAATCTTCATAACAAACCTATTATCTCCATGTTGAACCCGAAGAGACTAAGACTTAGGTTAGCTAACTTGCCCAAGGTCACACAGTCAGGGACAGGATAAGGATACAAACTCTAGTGCATCTGATTGCTGGGGAACGGGGGGTTTAGTGCTTGGGTAAGGGAGTGGGAGTAATGTTTAACCCTGGTACTGTCACTCCATCTACATTTTCATCAAGATCAAAGCTTATGAATGAGCATACAGGCTTGGATCTGATTTTCCATTTCATAGATTCAATTCAACCTTTGTGACTTTCCAGTAATAGAAACTGTTGTTTCAGAATGGATTTGTGTGTAATTTTTTAAGGTGGCACTGAGCCTATAAACATGGGATTTGAGACATGTTTCTTAGACTTGCAGAGAATGCACTTATGGTTGCCAGATGCGGGGTGGATGGAGGGAAGGGATAGTTAGGGAGTTTGGGATGGACATGTGCACACTGCTGTATTTGAAATGGACAACCAACAAGGACCTACTGTATAGCATATGGACCTCTGCTCAATGTTATGTGGCAGCCTGGATGGGAGTGGGGTGGGAGGAGAACGGATACATGTATATGTATGGCCAAGTCCCTTTGCTGTTCCCCTGAAACTATCACAACATTGTTTGTTAATCGGGTATACCCCAATAAAAAATAAAAAGTTTTAAAAAAAAAAATTTTTTTAAAGACATGTTTCTGTTCAACTCTCCCAAAACAGTTAAGTTCAAAAAGTTGTTTCCCTTCACATTTAAATCTATAAAATGTATATGCATCAGGTAGGATGAATCATACACAGTTTTCATGGTCACATTCCAATCCTATCTTCTCCCTACACTGCACACCATTTTCTGGTCTCATTGCCAGTCATTAAAACATTGACACGCTTGTGTGTCTGTGCCTTATCCCTTATCTATTCAAGCTGTAGACCATAATCCAGTCTCTCTGTGATTGTAGCAGCTCTTCATTTGAAAATCTTGGAATCTGTACATTTAACAATGGGTATAGCAATGTTGTAAAGTAATTAGCCTCCAACTAATAAAAATAAATGGAAAAAAAATGGGTATAAATTTAATATTTTTATATAAATGCATTATTATAACGCAGCTATGAGATCTTGCTACACATTCCTAACAGTTCTCACTGTGGTTGCATCGATGGGAAATTCATCCGGGGGGGCTGCAAAGTTTTATACTCAGGTCACATATTTGAGATGGTGCTGAGAAAAGTGTAGATAAGCATAAGGGATTATTTGAAAATTATATCCCATGGAAGTTACAGCTTTAATGATAAATTGGTGAATAATATTAAGTCAGAAATAAAAGACTCTTGTAAATTCTACAAGCTTTGTTTTCTTTCTTGGGCAATATGACTGGTTTTAGGACATCATGATGTTACGTTTTTCGTTATACTGTATTCTGTTGATAGTAAAGCAATTTGGTACAACCATTTTGCCTCACGGAAGTCACTTGGTTTTGGAAGCGCACAGCTCCAGTGCTTGTGGAAATGCTGAGATGGAGCCTTTCTGCCCTGGGGATTTCCAGTTTCTGATCAGATAAACTCAAGATAAGTCCTGATGTTACTGAGCGGGAAGTGGAAAGCAAAGAGAGGCATTGCTTGATTCTGGGGAGTAAATGGGTTTTCCAATGAGGAGTACCTCTATCTTCTACAGACAGTGGTCTCATAATTAAAAAGCATCCAAGAAGTCTACTTTCTTCTATTCAAGCAGGATTTTATTTACTGCAGGGCTGAGCACCCTTTTTTGGTGCAGTGGTCAATTTGAGGAACATTAAAACGTTTCTGACTACATATTTGTTTCCCTGAAACATATGTTTACACTGGGAAAAACCATATGGGCAACTATGGATGCTTAAGCTTTTTTTTTTTTTTTATTCCCTTCACCAAGGATTTTTTTTTTTTCTTTTTTTGGAAGTGGAGAAGCAACTAAAATTTTTCCAAGCTATATAACTAGCATGCATTGCAGTGACTTATTGTAATGCACATTTTAATGTATTGTTGAGTAAGACACTGGGAACTGGCATATTTGTCTTTCCTTGACTGACCTTGTAGGCTACTTACTTGTGAAATGTTTTGTTTTCTTACACTTAACTTAGTATTCTCTAAAATGAGATATTTGTTTCTGTGTCAACAATCTGGAATAACAAAAGTTCAGAGTCAGTTTACTCTGAAATACTCGATTTTCACCAGTCTTCTTTTTCTCTCCTTGGTGGAAGCTATAGCAAGGGTTTTAATTTTATTTAGAAAGTGGTTCACAACCTGCTAGTTAATCCATCCCCTTTCCAAAGAGTTCACAGATGCTGGCCAGGCACACCCACCATAGGATTTTCTCTAATAGTCCTGGTCTCTTGAGAGACCTAGACCTTTGGTTGAATTTGTATGCAATCAGTTTCCCCATAAGGAAGATGTAAGGGTTCCTAAAGTGGGCTCACATCTGTGGGTTTTGGGAGCAAGGGAGGATGGAGGCTGCTTATAGGAAAGGGCCAGGAAATCAATTCTCCTGTACCAACATTAGTATCTATTGTGATTTCTACTTGCAAATATGTATATGTTGTAAAATGTTCAATCATTACATAAATATAGAAGGTAGCGGTCCGTGGTTAGATTCTTTGATAGTCTTATACCTTCATGACACTGCCGTTAGTAGTTTGGTATGGATTTCTCTGGATTTTTTAATGCGGATACTAAAATGTTACTGTTCACCAACAATACCATACATAGATGCATACTGCTTTGCAGTTTCTTTTCTTGCACTTGGTAGTATATTTTGAACCTCTAGAAAGCCCTTGAATGGCATCCTTCTAGACATGGCCACAATGGGAGCTGGATGAGAGGAGCCGTGTAACCAGGGCTGGAGGAAGGGAACTGATGTGTGCTGTGTCCTGCCATAGGTAGTTTCACATTCGTGTCTCCTTTAGCCCTTTGCAAGGACCCTTTGTGGTCAACTCTTTCTAGATTAGAAGAGAAGAGTCCGAGGTGCATGACATAAGGAACAGACGCTGAGGTTCAGGCCCTCATCAGTATGGCTCAGAATCTGGGCCTTTTCCTCCTTCTCACTCTCACTGCAGGATGGAGAGTGCTCTGCCCCACCGTTCTCTGGCCTCCCACCCTTCTCTGCCTCTGCCTATCTACACAGGTCCCCTTGCTGTTCCTGCTGCCTCAGAGCCTTAGCACTAGTGCCTCCCTCTCCTAGACCATGCTTCCTGCAGATTCCTGCATGGTTCGCTTCCTCACCT